ATCTCTAGACTGCATTATCTCTCTGATAATAAAAGTCTATTTTTCTGGCATCAAAACCCAAAGACTCTGAGAATGATTCCTCACAGCACCGGCAGAAGCCACCACACAGCATACTTAGTAAAATGGTCTGTGATGACCAAAATATCCTTGGTGTTACTGCTGTCTGGTTCCAGTGTTTTCTCTCAATCCTTCGTTAGAAATATATATATATATATATATATATAACCTAAATCATATTAGCATTATGCTAACGCTAAAATTGCGTTGTTAACATGCGTTTAGAGCATTACACAAGATAAATCAAATTGGTTCTGCTGTTACACAAGTGCTTAGTTTTATATCATTGATGTGAAATGATTTAGAGACACATTAATTGGGACTTACTTCTTTTATATTCAATTCTGAAGCACTGAATCTCCCGGAGCAGCAACGGACATCTGCTCTCATCTCAAGTTCACGGAGAAAATAAAGATCTGGAACGCACTGCGTTGTAAAAATGCAGGGATAGCGGAAGACGTAATGATGTCATTCAAAACGCGATTTCATTGGATGCGATCATAATCCTCAATATTTTACATTTATATATATTTATGTTCTTAAATAATTTATTAATCACAGGTATATATATATTTTCCTGGCAGCACTTTTCATCCTTTGGATGTTATTATTTGCTCTATTATTCTGTCTCTGCTACTACCCATTAGTAACCTGGGTTACATAATCTTCACCGGTCCCCACGATAAAAAACTCCAAAGGCAACGAGTCCAATATAGTCGATAAAGGCAGTACTTCTAAATAGGCATTTTTCTCGATAACCGTCTGTGTCAGCGGGACTGTAAACAAATCCAACTCGGACTTAATACACACTCCCGACATGCGGTGTAGTAACGCCATGCTAGAATATGGTTTTTACAGATCTCTTAGTAGAGACGTTTCGCTTCACAGCCTTCTTACACTTTTTGCATGTGACTGAGACCTTCTTGGGACCGCGCTTTGTTTTCTTTATTGAATGACCATGCCTCCTGCGTTTGAGACGACGTCGGCTGCTATATTTTTAGCGGCCGATTTTATGTATGCTTTAGCGATGCTGACCCCCCTTTTTAACAACGGTACGGCCAACCTAAACAGACCTCTGAAAAGTCCCCCTAGGCCTGCCCCGTACATAACGGCTCCTCCAGCATAACCGGGTAGACCGCCTCCGGCCTGATTTCGATAATAGTCGACATAGTCATCGGCATTCATCCCACGTGGGTTGTAATAAGCCATTTTTCACAGGTCTAAAGTGTAGTTTAACAACGACTTTCCCGTAAGAAAATGGTATTTCGTGGTTTTGGTCATCCTTTAATTCTACGGTAACGTCCGTGATGAGCGACTTGTTGACCGATGCGTAATGGGGTTTGTCGTATCTAACACTGACGGTATCATTGCTTCCCCTCGTTATATGTATGCATCTTTGAAAGGGGGACGTATGAATCACCCACTGATTGGTATTCGATAATGTCGGTATAAACATACATTGTATAAAAACCCGTGTTGATATCGGCTTGATGAGGAGCGTCGGTGATAACGCTCGTTGTAAAATCAGCTTTTTAATGGTAGGCGGAACGTCCTAAAGCTACGTCAGGTTTCATTCCTAAAATAGCGGCGAGTTTCCCGTAGAAGCTTAGCGAAATGTTGGGCTTTGTGACCAGTTGGGTTTTGTTTTTCAATTGATGGTAACCTCATACTCAAGGTGCAAGAACTGCATTTATTGCACTGATCACGGCAAGAACGCTCTCGTAGAACCCGCCGCTTATTTGGAGGTTCCTTGATAAGGAAAATCCTGATAACTCTTTAAACACGGTTTTGCCTGGTTTATTTGCATGTTTCTGGGATGGTGCTGGGAAGACATGCAGGCTGAAAATCCCGTCTTCATCGCTAAAGGTGTACCAGCTTCTAGGATATTCAATCTCAACAATGCCTACCTGCCATTTTCCTTTCAGGTTTATAGTTTTCGCTAACCTGGTCATATAACTAGATATGCAATTTTCAGGATAAACTGACAATGAAGAGTTGCACGGCAACGTGACGTAGAAACCGCGGTCATCCATGGTAAACCTTTACTCAAATGATCTCTTTCGGTAAAGGCTTGTACATTTTAAGGTTTTTGCAAGTCCAACAAAGCTTTTTTGTCTATATAGCTATTACATTTCGAAGGCCATCCTAGCCATTTCACTAAAACTAGCGTAGATCTTCCCTGTTTTTTCTCCCCTAAAATCTTTTCCACGTTAAACGCTTTGTTTTTGCTCACTATTATTTTTTGTAACTCTTCTTCGTAAAACACCCCATCGATGACGTCGCCGTCATAATCAGAGGGTCTGTATACGGGGAGATTACATGGGATACACATGGAGATAGTGAAAAATTATTCTGTGTAGTTCTGTTCATAGCCCTTGGCGAATGGTCCTCGCACTTTAGCTTTAGAGCTCGAGCCCAGGCATACTTGCTAAATACGTCGATACAGGTCAGCAAATATTTATTATTATCATTTTCCTTGGAGTATGCCGACATGTCAACTAGATCCGCTTGGAACTGTGTATCCATCCCATACACCACTACTCTATTACGTTTGTAGTTTATAGGGGCTGATCTGTGTAGTGTGTATGCATCCTCCCCGGCCAACCAGTCTGAGACCTGTTTATCGCTCAGACGGACTCCGGTATCCTTTAAGACAGCATCTTTTAACCGTTTTTTACCTCCTAAACAACCGGGGTTGGCCGGAGTGTAATAAACTTTTTACATGAGCTCAGACATGTCGACGTTTCACCCCTCCGCAAAATAATAACACGTACAAGCGTCACATTTCTGTCTTTTATTAAAAAAAAAAATATAATAATATATATATATATATATATATATAGAGAGAGAGAGAGAGAGAGAGAGATAGTCACAGGAATAGTTTTTTCAAATTTGCAGACCTTGTTTTTCTCATTTTTTGAAACAAGCTTCACACATACATCAGTTACATATGAACACATACATAGTACCTCGCCAACTCTTATCCCTCGACCGGCAGCGGATATCTCATCTAGAATTTTTCTTAGCATTACAGCGGGTGGATCGACTCTGTTAACGCACATGTCGATCAATACATCCCATGTATCCGTAGCTCTTCTCATAACGTCCATTTGTTTCTTGAGATTTTTTATACGTCTCATTTGCCCCTCGTAATCTTTCTCAGGATCACACGTGTGCTCGATAGCTGTGAGTATAATTTCGATCATCTGCTCTTTATAACGGGGGATAAACACAATGTCTCTGAAAAAATTCTTCACGCTACACACAGACCCCATGTTGTCGCGGTCACAGTCCGGGGGCAGACACGCTGCTTTAGCAGAGATCCACGGCGTCGTAAATGACTTTATTGTAGGACTCGTCCAGCAGCTTTTCCCTGAATTCGTGCAGGATAGCGCCGGTAGTTTCTTGAATCCTCAGATTGTTGTTGGTCATTAAACCGCAGCGGCATAGATTGAAGTCGATAATGGTCTGAAGATCGGGTTTGAACAGTTTGCGGGACAGCTCGTCGAAGCGTGAGTCGAAATAGTATGCGGCAGGCTCAAACAGACAGGAATGTTGCAGTTGGCTCGGATGGTCCATTGCACATCCCTCGCACTCCTCCCTCAGTTTGTTGTCTATGATGTGCTGCAGCAGCAGCATGATCATGACTTTTATGATTTTGAACCCGACCCCGCTGAAAGACCCGTCTGTGGTATCGAACCCTGTGCGGGCGGAGGTAGTGCACAGGTCCTTTAGGTAGCTCAGGTTACGATATCCGAGCTCCGTGCAGAATGTATCCAAGCATTCTTTGCACAGGTCGGGTGAGCGGTGTTCGTCTGTCGGAATATAATCGATAGCATTATCATTAGGAGCAACGAGGTTGAAAGGAGTGTAATCGTTTCGTAAAGAGTCTTCTTGAGACATGTTGGAAATGTGATGCGGGAAGGGACTTACTGTTCTATATAATGGCTGTAGTAAATGGGCGGGGACGGTAACGCCCCTGAACTTTTGCCGGGGTAACTCTCGGGATGAAACAGCTGCGTTTTAATTTTGTTGTATCCATCACGCATATCACACCACTTGAACATTTTGTTTACGATCGAAAAAAGCGCACTCAGCAGATGCAGATCACTCCACTTGAACAAAAATTGGAGGGTGAACATTTCATGATATTCCTTATGCAGGTCACCGCCCGAACGACCGCTAAGCTTTGTCTTGTCTTCGCAGGCGAATATGAACGTCCGGGTTCTTTTGGGAGTGATCACCGACCACTTGGTACCGGATATTCGGGGCCACCCCGTCCCACTCCGCAACATACAAAGATTCTTCTCCACAATCGTACAGATCTTTCCAGATACGATTGAAAAATTATTGCCAGTCTTTATCAGGAAATATCAGGCAGGTATCTTGATCCTGTACAAATTCGTTGGTCTCATCAGACGTGTAGAGCGTAACCGTTCGAGACGATTTGTGAAATATGTAGCCAAATATGCGTCCGCTGATCAGAAAAAAATCGTCTCTCACACAATCCGTATTTTCGTGGAGAAACTTTGTCAAATACAAATTAGCATTGTACGGCTTTCTCTGAGCCAAAGTCAGATTCTCCATCATCTCTTCATCCCATTCCTTCTCAGGAGTTTTAGGTGAGTATAAACCGGCCATGTCTATGTGTTTCACAGCTCTTTTCTGATTTTCCACAGAAGCGCCCGGGTCTATTTATCTAAGCGCACCTTGGGTCTATTTATCTAAGCGCACCTTGGAATGCAACCGGACACGCGGACCCCACATGGGCAAACCCCCGGATGTGGGAACGGACCATTAAAATCTATAAAAACATTCCTCAGGAGTTCATTTATCTCCTGTCATCCTCAGTCACGGACAAACATCTGAACAAACATCATATTTTCCCCCGGAGGTCATAGGTCACATCTGGACATCTAACAGGTCACGGGGTCAATACGACGTGGGTGGTTGTCATGAGGGTGGTCGCGATGCTGGTGGTCGCAATGTGGGTGGGCTGCGTGGGGGAGGGGAAAGGTCAAAAGGTAAAAGTCATAAATATTTTTGTCATATGCACATCCCTATTGACTACTGGCCTAAAATAAAAATTACAATTTGTTTTCATAAAAAAAAATATGCGAAATATATCTGACTTAAATAATTAAGCTAACAGATGTAAAACAGAAGTGTGGCGCGGTGGAAATGATGACAATGCACATTTTGTTTGTTTACTTTATTTTACAAAAGCACAAATCTTCTGTTTTTATTGTGAGTGTGCAAAAATAAAAGTAAACACTTTTGCGGATTATAACTTACTCCAAAAATTGAGTTTTTTATGTTTCAGCTGTTCGATTGCGCCGGCGTCAAGCGCACACACACCCCACATACTCTAGCAATTCAAACTTACATTGCAGTCTATTCATTATCAAAATAAAATACAGTCAACCAAACATATAAAAGGTTACACTGGTCAGTTTAAATAGACCGTAGTATACCGGTCCACTCTGCTGTCATGCCAAGGACGTTTATGCTCATGTGAAGAGGATGATCTTTTCCGTCTATATGTGAATGCGTGTAAAGTACAAGCATAGTTTACATTATAAATAGTAGTTTAACATTCAAATACATTGCGAATATGGAAACCTTTTGATTTGTGCCGAATGAGACGTGAGCAATAACCTCCACAAATACATCTAGCCAAACCCGCGCTCGCTCGTCCTCGTATGCACGCACCACGCACGCATGCACTGTCACTATCTAATGCAGCTGTAAATGCCGGATTTAAAAAAACAAATAGGCCTACCGCAACACAAAAATTCAAAATCTGACATTTTCCGGAACAGGATCCAGCAGGATCAAATTAAGTACTGGTCATAATACTCAGATAAATATTTTTCATGTGAGCAACAATGTGTTTTGCTGCAGCAGCGCCGATGGAAGTGGTTCACTGACTGCGCAGCACAGCCACATGCGCCACAGTTACATTTGGAATAATTTTATTTTAAATGCCATAATGTCAGTTGTAAACATTGCAATTGTGTTTTAAAATACAACAACGAGCAGCACAAATCCATTTAAAGAGGCGCATTCAGCGGTCTCCTAGACGGGATAGGAAACAGTCAACAAAGTAAAATGATCTCAAACATACAGCGCGCTCTCATTTTATCAAATGATCATAATCACATCTATTCATTTTACAATCCTGCTACTAGCATTTTATTCAGGCTAAAACCCCTTTAAATCGGGTGAGAAAGCGTTTTTTTTTTTTTGAGTGACTTTTGCACATCCTGTCATGCCGGTGACTGCGTGCCACTGCAATAGATGCATTTTGCAGCATTAAGGTTAACGATTAATCGATTAATTGATCGTTAATTTAAACGTTGATCGACCATGGAAATTATCGAAAATTGACATCCCTATGTTCTCCTATAGGAAAATGGTGTCAACACTGGAACATTTCACTTGACTATTGACTGTAAGTCTATAGCAATTGTCATTAATGACAGCCCTGTCTTTGTATTAATTTTTTTCCCATGTATTTGAAAATGTTTTGAATCTTGACTGTTTCACAGTGAAGTTTATCTTTGTGACCACTATTTGGTGCAACACCAATATTGTACAAGTACCTGCTCAAGTTTTCTTTTTTTTGCCCAATCTATACGATGTTTAATAGGTAGCCAGTGCAGTGTTGACAGAACCGGGCTAATATGGTCATACTTCTACTTAAGGCAAATAAAAGCTACTGAACACACTTTTAAGAATGTTTACATGAGGTAAAAATAAACCATGCTCAATTTGTATATATTGTGCTGGATTTATTTGCTACTAAAGATAGGCCTATGCTATAATTTTTTTAGAAATTTCTGCATAACGGATTGTCCGTTTATGGTACAGAAGAAAATGTAAATCTACAGAATTTTCCATTTTAATGTTGAGGGAAATGTCCGTAAATTTAATTTTCTGCCAGTACATTATCCGTTTTTTTACGGAATTTTTTTTACAGTGTATGTACAGATTTGTGCATTATTTACTCTATATACAGCTATAAATAAAGAGATATACATATGTATTTACATAATACTTGAGAAAGAGGCACTAATTAAAGATGGAGAATGAATTACAGAAATGAATTACAGAACACAGTTAATGATTCATGTGTTAGCTGTTTAAGCTGGAGATGGCATGGGTGGAAAAAACTGTTTTTATGCCTAGATGTTCTAGTGCACAGAGATCTGTAGCGTCTGCCTGAGGGGAGAAGTGCAAACAGGTTGTGTCCGGGGTGAGAGGGTTCTTTGATGATGTTTCCTGCCCGTTTCTTCACTTTGGAGTTGTACAAGTCCTGAAGACTGGGCAGGTGCACACCAATGAACCTTTCTGCTGTCCTAACAGTCCGTTGCAGTCTTCTTAAATCTGATTTGCTGGCTGACCCAAACCAGACAGTTATAGAACACCTCAGCAGTGCCACAAACTGATCACCTCCATGCCACGCCGTATTGATGCAGTAATTAAAGCAAAAGGAGCCCTTACCAAGTATTGAGTACATGTACAGTAAATGAACATACTTTCCAGAAGGCCAACAATTCTCTAAAAAATGTTTTTTTTATTGTTTTTATGAAGTATTCTCATTTGTTGAGAATTGGTGGGTTTTTGTTAAATGTGAGCCAAAATCATCACAATTAAAAGAACCAAAGACTTAAACTACTTCAGTCTGTGTGCATTGAATTTATTTAATACACGAGTTTCACAATTTGAGTTGAATTACTGAAATAAATGAACTTTTCCACAACATTCTAATTTATTGAGATGCACCTGTACATACTGAAAAACATTTCTTATAGGATACACCTCAGATTCAAGATATCAGTTCAAAAAAGCCCCTGATTGAGTTTTTTTCTCATATCTGTGTCCATACTCTCTCTCTCTCTCTCTCTCTCTCTCTCTCTCTCTCTCTGTGTCTCTGTGTGTGTGTGTATTGATGCTTTGGCATCTGAACTCTTCATGCAGACACACACACACACACACACCACTAACACTTCTGAGGTATTGAGCTTCAAAATGTTTGCATTTTTTTTTTTAAAAGTCCCAAAATGTACACAACTTTAAAAGCAAATATAATGTAATTATTTTGTTACAGAAGAATAATATGTAAGGGAACTCAATTTTGACAAAAATGTCAGATAGAACCTTTATTGATGTTGTAACCTGCTGTCGGTGAGTCAAGTCTGTTCATGCCTCGTCAAGTCTGTGTATCTTGTTTGGATGTTTGGATCACTCTGTAAATAAACTGCACTTGGGTTCTCACTACGCTCGCCTTCAGTGGACGGATTCGTTACAATAATTCCAAGGTGATGAGATACTTTACAGATAGATAGATAGATAGACACAATAAGCATGCACATTTTGTAAAAGTTATACAGTTACTGTGTCTATCTATCTTTCTATGCACACACACACATACATGCATGCATACAGTGTGTATATATATATATATATATATATATATTTGTGTGTGTATAATGCAATAATTAAAATAGAATAACCATACTAGCAGTGCTTTTAATGTATTTGAACCCTTTAGAATTTTCTTTATTTCTGCATACATATAGCCCTAAACATCATCAGATGTTCAGACAGATCCTTTTATTATCTGGATGTGACCCCCTTGTGCATAAACATTTCCGGTAACTGCACAGTCCTGTACAATGACTTGGAGGAATTTTAGCCCATTCGTCCAAAATTTTCCAGTATTTTTTTCCAGTAGCCCTCTGGCTTGTCCACATGATTTTTAGCAAACTGCAGGCAGGTAGCATGTTCTTTTTTTGGAGAGCAGTGGCTTTATCCATGCACTCCAAGGTTGTTCAGAGTTCTCTTGATGGTGGACTCATTAATATCAGGCAACATGAGAGAGACCTTAAGTCACGGGCATCATTTGTGTATGACAGGGTATGGCGGCTGCCATGCCTTGGCTGCGTTGTCAGGTTTTTATTGCAGGATGAACCGAGTTAAATTACAAAGTGTGACATATAATTTGTAATCGTTAATTAAAATGGAAGAGCAAGTAAATTAAAGTGATCTGGTTTATATTTGTGTCATGTTTTCGAAAGTGCTGCCAATGTGTCTATTTGCGCATGCTTTTGCAGTGATGAGTATTGTATCTAATCACAGGGATTTCTGTTGAAAATAATTAAAACCAATCAAAAGTATTTAAACTACTGGTACTGAAAAAAAAAAAACTGCTCGGAAACTCTCAAAATGCTGAATGAGTATGCACACAAATCCTCTCACTATAACAAACAAAGTGGAGACATAATGTAAATAAAACATGCATTGTGCAGTTTTAACAGTTTATTTGATTAAAATGGATGTTTTCACACTCTATGATTGCTCTGATCCCATATAGGTTAGTCATGAGATGTATGTATGTGTGTATATATGTATGTGTGTATATATATATGTGTGTGTGTATATCAAAATTTATATCACAATATATTTCTTCATTTCGGTCAATACGATATAATTCCGATATTGATATGAACACTATTAAAAAAAAAAAAGCCTCGTAAAAACTGCCAAGAACGCCCACAACAGATATCTGAGCATACAAACTTATGAAAAATGTATTTGCCAAGTCTATGACACCTCATATAAAACCATATATTTTAGAAAAAAAAAAACAGTACAAATAAATTAATGTTCACCTTTTATTTGTATTAAACCTTCATACAAACAAGAAAT